CTAAGGGCTAAGGGGCGCTAAGGGCTAAGGGGTGCTTAGGGCTAAGGGGCGCTAAGGGCTAAGGGGCGCTAAGGGCTACGGGGCGCTAAGGGCTAAGGGGCGCTAAGGGCTAAGGGGCGCTAAGGGCTAAGGGCTCGCCTTGGAGGCATCAGGCGAGGCGTCCTTCTGGTGTCGCTCCTTGACAGCTCGCAGCTGCGCCTGCTTCGCCTGTGGGGCAACAGGCGAGATAACGGGTTATATGACAGGCGAGATGACGGGTTAAATGACAGATAAGACGACAGGCGAGATGTCAGATACAATAACAGGCGAGATAACAGACAATGTAAAAGGTACAATTTCAGGCAAAATGGCAGGCGATATAACAGTTACAATAACAGACGAGTTAATACATTAAATGACAGGCGAAACAACAGGCGAGTCACCTGTGTAGCCTTGGTGATCTGCTGGGCCAGCTGGTGGTTGAGCAGCTTCTTCCTGTGCAGCCTCGCCTGCAGTTCAGCAATTCGCCTGTCAAGCCTTGCCAGCTCGTGCGTCTTGACTGTCAACAGCTCCTGTTGCGACGCCACGCGTCCTGTTGACTCCCTGTTGACGCTGTTGCGGTACTGCACAGACAACAGCACGTCAACGGCAAAAGAATATTAGGCAACCCTGCCAAGAGGTTGCCAACTAGGCTATAAAAAGAGCGAACGGCCATGAGGTTGCCAACTAGGCTATAAAAAGAGCGCGCAGACACTAAACCATGAGGATGCCAACTAGGCAAAAAAAAGCAAGCGGCAGCACTGAAAAGGTTGCCAACTAGGCTATACAAGAGCGTGCAGCAACCCAGCCAAGAGGTTGCCAACTAGGCTACAAAAAGAGCTGGCGGCAACACTGCCAGGAGGTTGCCAACTAGGCTATAAAAAGAGCGGGCGGCAACACTGTCAAGAGGTTGCCAACTAGGCTATAAAAGAGCGAGCGGCAACCCAGCCAAGAGGTTGCCAACTAGGCTATATAAGAGCGAGCGGCAACACTGTCAAGAGGTTGCCAACTAGGCTATAAA